CGCTAGATGGAGATTTGAAAACGAATGTTGTCTCCGTGCTTGGCTGTTATTTGTGTACGATATGAGTCGATTTATTTAGTATGTATATCAACGTTCTCTCTACGGGTAGTTGGGGTGTCCGTAATGTTTCCATTGTATGTGAGCCTAATTGGACGGTAAAGAATAAACAATGGAGCAAACTGCCAAGCATTTATTACATACTCTTATTTTTTAGTGAATTTCAATAAACTTTTGGTTTTTTATACATATTTCTTTTGGACATTCGTTTTCACAAAATTTGCATAGTTTATAATTTGTAATATAATTTTAATTTTTCTTAAAGTTAGTAGTATTTGTTGAAAAGCTGGATAGAGAATTGATGATGATGGTGAAATTTATGAATATTGAAATAGTAGAGACATTTTACTGAAACTCTTTTTACATTGCTGATATGAGTAATGCCTTTGAATTTGTTTCTAATAAACGGCCAAATACTATGATAGAAATAGCCATTACATGAATGATGAAGGTAAAACATATGGCATCACACGCTAAGATTACCGGTAAAAAAAGAATAATTTTCAATCGTCGGTACTCTTCACAAAGATAATTGACGTGCTTATTTTGTTGCGAGTGTGTTATGATTAATCATTTACGCCTTTTCGTAAGCAAGAATACATTGTATGTAATTTACTATTATTGTTTACATTGATGTGCAGTACGTCTTGTATTAAAAACACGCCTCTGCAAATTTTTGTTAAACTTAAAAACTCTGTGAATGCATTTCTAATATTATAATGAATCAATAATATCATTGATTAACATATTCTATATAACTATACCAATTTTATCTTAATATAGGCTTACTATCAATGGTATACAGAGATACTTTTGTCCTCGATATATATAATTTTAAATTAACATTGTAACAGTAGTTTATAGACTTCGTGTGTGTCATCGTGGTACTCAATTATATAACAAAATCACAACGACACTATAACACATCTCTGGTTAGCAATTCAACTTAGTGCAAATACGGCTAGTATATCTGGCACCAGCCATAAAAAAACCATGTTGTTGGATAAAAATGGTCATTTTTTGAATGCTTGCATAACACGTCGTTATACATCGCTATCAGTCCCGTAGAATTTTATTTGTGAATTAGATTGTCTTACGAATTTACTCGATTACCCGATTAATCAGTTTACGGAATTTCTGCTCCAATAGTCGAACAAAAGTAGTTATAAATACCAGCCATTAAGTTTTTGTGAACGAGATGTTTAGTTTAACAAGTAATGTGTATTCAAAATTTTGTATGCTTGCAGGACAAAAAAAAAGCTTGATATGGAGTCCACCGGGTATGATAATGAAATAAACCGATCCTAGCCTGACGCGTAGCCCAATTCCATTTTTTAGTAAAGGAAGCTCACCGGATATGGTAACTCATTCCTAGCCCAACGCAGACCACTTAGCGGTTGTTTGACGTGATAACACAACTCCTCTTACTATCCAGATAACGAGCATACAAATCTCCTGGATACATGCCTTCAATCTCCATTATTTAGGACGGACATAAAAATAACATCCTTCCACTTTGCTCCCGTTCGAAGATTGTAAGCAGGCTAACGGCGTCAAGATTTAAAGTCTTATCCCAACCTTCAAACAGGATTACTTGCGACAAAATAAAACAAAACATCGCTAAGCGCATATCGAACATTTCGAGGGTAAAACATGATATCGATTAAAAATAAGCATTTTTATTTAAATCTTGCTCACAGAACTCACCTTTCTGTCGAAGACATTTTATTGTCTTTCGGTATATTACTGGTAAAGAAAAACAATGTTGGTTTGCGCGATTAATGCAACATTTAACCTACTGTTATCACATGTTTGTGCATCTACGTCAAGTGTAAATATAAATACTGGACGGGTCGTGCCGAGCAGCGAATGGTTTCGATTTTCGTGACCGTAGAAAGCAGTTTTTTAATATTAATTAATTTTTTATTAAATGTTAATAAATGGTTTATGGTACAGATTTAAAATGACAATAATTCATAGGCTGTGATGAGCCACATCAGCCGTTTTAGCTCACATAGTCAATAGTTCACATTATCATTATATTATTGGTAAAGATAGACCTAATTATGTTTTGATTTTGATACAATAACACCCGGGATCACTCGATTTTAACTAAATTACCATTATTATTATTATTATAGTAATATCCCCCCTTTCATCCCATAACAATTTCTCCGTATCAATAGTTGCAATTTGTGGGGATTTCCCCCCATCTGTTTAATGTCTAAAAAGCTTCGACACCATTCAAAAAAAGATTTGAACGAGAGTAACCAGCATATCAATCACAATATTTATTTTTACAATTAACGAAAAATCATAAATACAAGTACAGGTAATGTCCAATGAACGAAAGTTAATATTCGATTAGCTGTTCTGAACATCTTACTTCACAATGGGGAAACCCAAATGTCCACAATAAATAAAAATCCCTAAAGTATTACGATAACTACGCATCAAAAACGCTTAAGAGCGCTTGCTATTAGAACATCCTCTCATAAGACACTTTTTCCATTCACATTCGGTCTTCGTCATTAACAGTGATACTCTCGTTCTCATCCTCAACTTCAGTCCACCCAGAATGCAAAAATGGATCCACCTTCTCTTCGTCTGCGTGAATATATCCTTCTTCCACCGGACGGTTGACTGCATTAGCAGATTCAGAACCATCCCCGCTACGGTTCCAGACAACGTTCATCACTGTTGCAGTTGTTCGGTGGGCTAGAACCGCAGTTTGAGGTCGGGGAAATATTTCAAGCAGAGGAGAGGACAAGGCTGAAGAGGACGGGGTTGGAGAGTGTGGTACTGAATAAAAAGAGACTGGGGAAAGTGGAGCCGAACAGGAAGAGACTGGGGAGGGCGGAACTGGGGAAAGCGGATAATCTACTGTAGTGGCTATAGTGGACCGATCGTCGGAGTACCTATTAAAGTATCCACCTGAATATCTATCGGAGTATCTACCAGAATACCTATCAGAGCAGTTATCGGAATACTGATCTGAATATCTGTCGCCTTCTCGTAGAGCCCGCGCGGAAGATGACATTTCACTAACTGTTGGCGATAAAATTATCGGAATCATTCCGTTCGACCCATCATCACTATACTCTCCAACAGATGACGTAAAACTAATCGAACTGCCTGTTTTGAACGTCCTCGTCATAGGAGACAAGTATTCCCTCGAACTTTCGTATATTGAAGATGATACTGAACGAAATGTAGTTCTTCTGCTATGCTCTGGTGACGCTTTTTCCTTTGACGGATTCACAGTCGATTGCTTCAAGGCCATATGCTCGTTCCGTACGTATGCGATAGCTTTCGCTACTCCACCAAGATTTAAAATCGTGATCGTTAAAATATACACCCATGCTGCGTTCGCACCTACCAGTAAACATAAACAGTATATAATCACTGGCGTGTACTGGATCAATTGTAGGAAGATATAAGACGACATTCTGCGTGTAGCGCGAGTTACTTTAAAGGCGACTCGCTTCTCAGCTTTTGTCAAATTTCTATGCACGGTAGAGGCCATTAAGACTGTTGGTAGGCTTAAATCTTGGTATGATGCGGATTTGTTAATGCTTCGGTTATTTCTCCTATCATCATATCTCTCGCTTATACTCGGTGAATTGAGGTTATACATCGGGATTTCTGAAGTGCGTCGTGACGTGGATTTAGGCGACTTTTTAAAGATTCCAGCGGATAGTAGTGATTCTACGTTGTGAATTCGTTTTATTACGTTCAAATAGCAGAACGTTGTTATGGCTGTCACAATATATGCAAAAGCAACCATTGCGACAAGATTTACTTGGCTCCCAGACCCTGAGCGTTGAGTAAAACACCTGCAATAAATACCAGGAGATAATACGTTAATGCGTTTATTCATTACAAGCACTTGTATCACGCTTGAATACACATTTATTTAAAACTACAATGATATGCAAGAAGCTTTTCATCTGGAAACATTTCTCCTTTACTTACCAAAAGGTATCAGGACCATATCCGTTCATTGCCAAAGTGATAACGGCTATAGAGAGTGAAGGCAAGATAGTAGATGCGAACAGTGCCCAATCTTTAGCCCCAGCTGCCCCAGACTTTTTATGACAGACGCTCAAATATGTAATGACAGCAATAATGGCCATTAACATCATGTTCATGCTAATCAATGTTGACAATCCAAAACCCATGACCTTACACCATACTCCTGGTAGAAGCTTATTATGAATCATTGGATATAACAAGTTGGGGACGATGAATGCTGCTGTCAAAAGGTCTAGCACTGCCATGTATAATGGAAAGCGCTGTGTCGGTGAGAGCGGTTCTAGTAAATTTTTGGACGTACGATACGATAATACGAATATTACTATACATCCGAAAATGTTAATAAACGAAGTGACCACTCCCGACACAAATAATATTCCACTGCCAGTTGGATCTATTTCATATATGCCATTATTATTAGTATTGTTGTAGTCGATTTTAGGTGGAACTAAAGTTGTGGGTTTTGGCGTTTGAGAAATGGAGTTTGTTGGAACTTGAGCCGCTATATGTGGAACTGTGAATAGAAGTAAAAGAAGAAAAGAGTAGATGGTGAAGGGAATGCGCGGGGGATAGAATGATAAGGAAAAGAGTTTTAGTCGTGGCCGTGGTTTGTATTGTCCGCTGTACATTAGGTTGAGTATTAAGATTGAGCCAATGTGTCGAGTATGTAAAGCGTTCTTATAATGATACTTGTTGGAATTTATGATACAGTGCAAATGAAAAAGACCAAACAGCCGATTATTCGAATTCACACTAACAGAGTACGAATCCCAATGCTATCTATATACAAGTAGTTTTCTCAAACACCCCAGTAAGAAATAAAACGAATAAAGAATGCCGAGAATGTAATGAAATATGCAAGGCCGATACGTGAGTCTAGTTGGAAAACGGGCCACGACAAAAAGAATGAACTACTCTACAGGGAGGACGAGTAGGGATTATTTGCGGAAGAACAGCAAAGATAGGGATAGGATAAGGGAAACGACAATATTGAGGGAGGGGGCTAATAAAGCCATCTGAATTACAAACTTACAAACCAATGAAAGCAGTCCGGATTATAAATTATCATATTAAATATTTAATATCGGACAAAGAGTAAAACGGGTAGCTTGGCGTTTGGATGACGTCACTAAAAAAATCTGTTAAAACGCCATTGTTATTGTCTTTTCCCTTGCCAAATACTGACAACGTTAATTAAATATTAAACAATAATACCTACTACTACTAGTAAATACTAACACTAAAGCCACACAACGTAGAACTATAATTAAGACAATCACGTGTACAAAATAAACAGGAGATCATACCTTCTACAGGCGCAATTCTTGCTTTGTGCATATAATTCCTAATATTGTCCAGAGTGAATCGAAATAAACGCGGCACAATTATAGTTAAAATTACGTCCAAACTCACGGATACAATGTCCAGACCATATATGCACATACAGAGTCAAAAAAATGTAGTAATACATTACGTGTGCCTGAACCTCTGAAAATAATTTATCTGCGGATGCAAATTAGAAAAGTGCATTCGGTCATAGTCATACTGCTCATTTTCCATCTTCATTCTCTGTTTACGTTTATGCGGGAAGTTGGCAGAATTGATTATGACTAACATTTATACAAATTTGGAAGCTATTATGAAATTGAGTAGTAACACAAAAGCTACAAGCTAAAATTAGTAAACTAATACTAATTTAAGAAGCGGTAAATTCCAGGGTATGCTGTACGATGTTAATGTTGTGTAATGTTGGGGCGTGCCGTGTATTTATTAGTTCACAGTCAGATATTAAACAAAGCATCTCAATTGGTAGTGGAGCAGCGTTTATACACAGGTTAATTTATACTCGTTCAAAGAACGGCCGGGGAAACATTTCTAAATGAGAAATCGAGCAATATCGTTCTCCTTAATTGTACTCATCCGATTAAGGAATATCTCATCTTGTTCATAAGTTGTTGTCTTTAGAATAATTCCGATGGGATGAGCTAAAAATTAAATGACTCATAAAACAAGTTTCTCGGAATCACTAATGTCTCTGAATCAACATTATTTCCTCTAGCATAAACTGCTCGTTATTTATCTGATTTTGGGACATATATTTTTCATTGTATTGTTGTCTTATCCTGTTGCAATTGGTAAAGCCTTTTATATTTGTGTTTCGTTAATGTCTACTGACAGTCGAAGCGGAGACATCTATGCTAATTTTAAAGATAGACCGTTTATCTTTGAGTTTCCAATGCCTCTGTTACAATCAAGCAATATGGTCAGTAATGGGACAAGTTACACATTTACAGATCCCAGAGAATTTTCCGTATGTATTGTAGAGCGGCTTCTTATATGCAATGTAATAATGCACTCATTCGCTAATGTCTCTTTTATCATTTACGATTAAAAAAACTTTTCCGCACAGCCTGCAAAATTTAACCTTCACAGACGCGAGGTATATGACATCTCTGCTACACGCTATCTCTACACTTTCATTCCTTACTATCTTTTTCAGCGGCGTTATGCCAACAAGCATGCTCAATAAACGCCTCTACGAGAAACGCTTTCTCTTTATTCATGTTATTCCGCTTCCATGTTCTGTCATCACATTTCCGTCTTCGGTGGCGGTGTCCACAACAACTGTCTCAACTTGGCATCACGTTTTCCCGCTCTCAGTTCTTTTCGTCTCTGATATTTCCTCTTCTTTAATTCTGCCTTGTATTCTACCAACTTCTCTACAAATTGTTTCTTCCGGCGTTCAATATATTTCTCGTTTCGTCTCCAATTTGCTTTTAATATTCTCCGTACTGCTTCTTGAGATATTCCAAATTCAGTCGCGAGGTTGGGAACTGTAAAATGATCGGGGTGCTATTCATAAATGTTATAAAGTTAAATAATAAGATCAAGCTACTTGTAAACAATACATCAGACAGAATAGCGGAATGCTTAACTTGTTGATGCAGGTTCTGAATCTGATTCATCTGTTCGCTCGACAATTTCTTTTTCGGATTCCACTTTTCAAACTCTATCTTTTCTTTGACAGCTAACCGATGTTTTAACCACCCAGGTAGTGCCCCTTTCGTTCGCCAATCTATAACATACTTTCGGTAACCATCTATTTTCTTTTTTAATCTGTATACATCTTCTTGATTTAATTCACCAGTTATTTCGGTTACATCGTCTTCAAGTGCCTTGGCTATTTTTCTGTTTCGTATAGAATCAAGCAGTAATCGTTTCTTATCAACTTTTATGTCATTATTGGTTACTTTGTCTTTAATAATATCCCTATATTTTGAAGCTTTAAGTTCGAAATCGTCGTTACATGTCGGCCGATTCCTTTCGAGTATAGAAGCAGCAATTGCTGTTTTTATTCGGTCAAGTTGTTTGGCTCGGTATTTCGACCGCCACGTTGATTTTTTGTTACGAATTCGATGTAATGCAGCCTCGGTGTTTGTAAGGTAATAGGGAGGGAGTGGGCGAGGGGAATCCGACTCTGCAGCACCGGAATCAAAAAGACAGGCTGTGGTGCTTAGCGAGCGACTATGACAAATATCTCTCCGAGAAGGCTTAGGAATTACGATAATTCTTGATACGCTTAGCGAAAAGTCGGGGGATTTAAGTATGTATTTGCTCGAATAAAGATGGATTTTATGATGGATACCAGGCGTTAACTGACTAGAGTCATAGTTGATAACACGCTTTGCATTAAATTTTCCGACGGCAGAGAACGACCTATTCACCAAGTTTATTGCCAAAACGGTGTTGGTGTTTTGAATAGAGTCTTTTCCTAACTTCGTGATAAGCGACAAATATAACGGTCTAAATTTGTTAAAAAGCAGTTGCAAGGACATTTCTTTCTCTAACTTTTGAATAAATTTTGGTATAATAATGGGTCACACATGTCACGAGATCACCAATAATAATAATAATAATGTTACCACAATCCGAAGCAGTTGGAAGAGAAACTCATGGCAAGTGTCGACGAAGAAAGACAAAGTTGCCGACAACGATGATATTTAATTATCCAAATCAATAATAAATAATGAGCTCAATCCTCAATATCACAAGAGATAATTGACATGATAAAATGTTTAATAATTACTCAATTTGGCATAATGGTTGAATATATTCAGCATCGGTCAATTGGTTCTACGACTTTCACTTAAGCTAGCCATTGTATATAATCTATTTATAGTGTTTATTGGAATTATATCGTATTTAGGAATTTAGACTATTAGATTTAATAATTTTATATGGTGCACCAACTCTATACTCGACACCTGTCTTTAAGATTTTCAGCTCAACGTAGAGTCTTTTTGGAAAGTCTGCCAGTAATTATGTTTATCGCGACATGCTTTACAAAGTTACTGGCTGGTTTGTCATAAAAACGCCTCTACGTTGGGTTGAA